ACTGCTAATGCCGATTCATCCTCACAAAGTCTTTATTACGGGAAGTTACCATTCGCTCTCGTATTAACTGTAACACTTGCCGTCTTCCGTATGTTCTTTTCATCCTTCTTTATGTAGCAAACGCTGGATTCATTGATTAATTAACAATATTAATTTATGACACGAAATTTCCATTTTTAATAAAATTTAAAAAACAAATTTAGGACGTACCTCCTCGGAAAACCCGCGGTATTGTGAGGGGCCCGCGATAATATATTACATATAATATATTTGAAAACCCGCGATATATCGAGTCCGCGATAGCCGAACCGCGATATGGCGAGGGATCACTGTATATATTTTATCATATGAATAGGACAGTGCAGGCCACAAAATCTTTTTGATTCATGGATAAAATAAAGGTGTTAAAACTCCCTCTGATAACTCAATAGCTGACTTTGCAGTAAACTGTGTACAACTGAGCTGTTTCATTCTACAGCTTGATAGCTAACACTCCAGTCTACAGTGCACAATCAAGCAGTTTCATTCTATAAAAAAAGCTGAAGTTTCCAGTGTATCAGGGTATTTATTAGCCCCAGCGACACACAGAGCCAGTCAAGAGAGAAGTTAGGGCTGTCGGTCAGCCTCTAACGTCTCCTAAACCTAAATTGACAGGCACACACTACACTGCCAGCCCACTAACAACACAATATTGTTCCTCACAAATGGCCGGGACACACCTTTTAGTGGCCACATGGAGAGAAAGTGTAGCAGAAAGAGGAAGCACAGAGAGAGCCATACTGTAGGCCACACAGCACATGTACTGTATGTGACTTATAGATGAGGTGTTAGTCCATATGGATAAAATCTTCTTTCATGGTTTATACAGTATACTTAGTCTGATTATTTCACACAAATTAGATGGTAGTTTTTGTTCACTTCGTTCTGCTGTGAGGGGGTGGGAATGTCACTGCCTCTTTTTAAATACATGAAGGAAGCTAAAAGAGCGCAAAGTTACTGTTCACAGGGCCAACTACACAACAGCTGGCCAGTCCTCTCACAGTATATATTATGTTGTCACATTACCCAACCCTACATGGATTTGAATAGAAATGCAAGCATCTGACTCTCACACACACACGTGCATGCTCAACTATGCTTAAACACACCTCTCAGCTGTGTTTGTCATACACTCTACTCTGTGCTATACACTATATATTTCACTACATGCAGTCTTGAGGAGTTGAAGCAATGGCCTGTCCTCTTGGGGTGCAATCCTGTTGATGACTTCCAAAAATATATGATCAGCCCACTCAAAATAAATGTGCTGATGTTTTGCAACGGAATCTAATTTAATGCAGAGTCTAGCACAGTGATAAGTTAAGCACAGGTAGGTTCTCTTTGTTTCTACATTATGTAAATGCTTTGCCCAGTGTGCAAATGGCAATGCCATTGTATTTACACATGCATCAGCTGCCATTTTGACAGAAGAATATTAGTGTATATGTGTCTCATTTCAGATTCTTATTGCCTCGGCCTGTCATTAACCTCACAGTATGTTGTAATCGCCCCCCAACTAGTGGCATGGGGATGGCAGAACATACGTAAATGATCATGCTGAATTTCATTTTTATATGCACTGATGAATGTTGCAGTTTAAGTGTACAGTGTTTGGATTTTTTGAACACATGGGAATATGTGGAAATTGTTGTTGCATCAGAAATGGAGAGACAGGACACCCACAGAGACTCAATCTGATATCAGCTCTACCTTTTGTCGAATCTCTTCTTCCATCTTAATGGGGGAGCCGAGCTCAGCGACCTGACGGACACCCTCACTGGCGTAGCCACCATACTCCCACAGCAGGTAGCCTCTGGAGTGGGACGCGCCAATCAGAGCTGACCAGTGGTTGGCTCGTCCTGGAAGATAGGAGCGGGAGAAAAAGAGATCTGGATTTGAAAAGCTTAAATTCTAATGAGAGATTGAGCTGAACAAATGAGTAGCTAGCTGGCTGCTTGACATAACAGAACACTCTTTGTAATTAGCCCATAACAATGATTACATCAGCCTGATAATTTGATTAATTTCCCATTATGCTTAATTTTATTCATCCAGCCTGACATTGTGCTCATGTTAGCCCATTTCTTACTACTACCAGCAGTTGTTAAGGGCAATTAAGTTGTAGTTTTATGGGGAGCTGTCTGTGGGACTATTGCATGGCTGGGCACAGTAATTTCTAATTGCCAGGAAGGCAGTCGCAGCTCAAAGTCACTGCTCCTGGCTATGAAAGAGCCCAGCACATAAACCCCTGTAAAAATCATAGTGTGTCTTTACACTGTTTGTACAGACTGAACAAAAGAAATACAACAATTTATAAGTGAGCACTGCATAGAGCCTGGCTAGCTTTTTCTCCTGACTGCCAGTCCTTCTACTAAGCTAAGCTATCTGACCACTGATCATGGCTTCATACAGCTATCAAATCAATTGTTCAAAATGTTCAGCTCTTCTGAT